CCTAATTAAGGTGAAACTCCATCGTGAAAAATCATGAAACGTTCACAATCAAGAGGAATGCTGAGATTATTTTCTCGAACAGACATTCAAACACCTACGTCGATTTTTTTTTAACAATTTTCTGTGAATTAGGTCGTTATACCGTGTTAATAGTATTTAAGATCTGCAACTTGGTCTTTTTTGCTCTAGATTTAATAATCTATACAAGAAGTATTTTAATGCTTCTTATATAGATTATTTTCTCTTTTCTCTTTTTTTTTTCTTCTAAAGAACACGAAAGTAGAAATAAACGTTAATGCTGAATGAACTTGTCCGAGATCGATTCCCGCTCAGTTCTAGCTTGGTCAATTGTAAGCACTGATACCTTTCTCGAGCTCCCTCGCGGTAACTGGCGATCAAGAAGATAGGTTTGGACAAACCAAAATTCATTTTAATAACATTAAAGATGAACCTAAACACTTGTAAGAGATCCAAATGATTAGGTGTTCGACCCTAAATGACTGGCAATGTTTGTGTCGCCAAAAGTGTCGCACGATTCTTATATTTCAATTCCTTCTTTCAGTTCGATTTTCTCGCAACGACCTCGGCAAGGCTGACACAAAAGTACTCGCTGTAAGAGAAACTCCCCTGCATTCAAGTAGTGTTGACCTCGGTAACGTTTCGTACTGCTACGCTGAAAACAGCGCAAAAAAATTGCAAGGCAGTTTGCAAGAAAATATTTTTCTAGCGTAAATTCCTCATTTTGTCCAAATTTTTTGCCATCTGAAAAAGGTCGATTACTCTCTGCCCTCTTCAAAACATCTAGCCTTAAAAATGAAAAAAGACCGTTTTTTTTGCATCTAGGCCGAAGTGAAAATAAAATGGAAAATGAAATTTCGTCTCCCAATTTGGGCCCAAATGTGTCCTTTCCATCTCACTCGCCTACCACGCCTTATATGCAGGCTACATGTTTTGCTTAATATATAGATTTAGCCAGGGCTAAAGAGCGAAGCTCCCATTAATAAATGTATAATTTAAATCAAGCAATAAACTTGTAATCCACAAATCAGTGGGCACATTCATGTGGCTTTTGAGGGAAAAGCTGAGTGATTTTAGAGTGAGACATCCCACATCAAGTTGACTTATATGTTCACCCAAAAAATAGCAATCATCTTCGATCACATTCAAGAGCCATAACGGCTCTTGATCACAGTAGATTAGGCCTGGAAAACAAATCAGGCTGAATCTTTTGCGAACAAATCTGGAGGTGTGTAAACCAACCTTTTATACTTTTTATACATCACATCTGAGGTGAAACAGTACTATAAGGCGCTGTATTTATCATACAGACCTCGGACAGAATGCAGTATTTCACTGTTTTTCAAAACAATTGTACTCAGTCAATATTCAGGACGATCAATCGTTGGCTTTTAGCGAAACCGTTCAAAAAATTTCCAAAAACACCTATACGGCCAGCCGGTTCTCGGCTTTTGACAAGCGGTCGAGTGTGTGAATAAACATTGATAGAGTTACGCTTCAACATAATAACGAATTTATTATGTTAATTTTTTTTATTAAACGGCTTTTTAAAGATGTGAAATCTTGAAAAGCGTTTGATACACGCGACATTTTGAATACTCCTGCAGGCGATGTTCATGAAAGACTGAAAACAAACGGCACAGCGATTAAAATTGCAAAAGAGACTTCTAACAATCAATAAAAGAAATATAACTCTGTGAAACATTTAAAGAGACAGCAATTTTCATTCACGAAGACAAGTATTAAAGTGTCTTTAGATATCCTGAGTCTAAGTTTATGTATTAAGCCGGCTTCCCGGTGTTTGCTTTTTTCAAAGATGAACTCGAGGCAAGAAAATCGCTCAAAGTTTTCTTTCCACACGCAAATTTATAACTAAATATTCTTCGGGACGTTTTCTTTCTATTTGCGTGAGAAAATATATCTAAAGGCTTTTTAAACTTCTGTCAGCTTATATCAAACCTGATACTAGGTCAGATCATTGTCTCAAATCTTACAAACGTAGCTAAACGTGCAAATTAACTTGCCGCATAAACTGTGCTCGACTTCATGAGGTTACATATAAAAAAACAAACATCAGATACAATAATTACTCAGGCTTACCATTCGAGATGCAGCTCCTGAAAGCTATCAAGTAAGGCCAGAATCGCTTGAGACTTTTAAACTCCTCTTACGTATCAAGCAAGGTGAAAAACGAAAACGATGCCATCCGAAATCGGATTTCCGACTTTGACAAGCGACGAATTTCTCAACCAAAAACCCAATAAACAAACCAGCCATGAATAACAGAAGACTCTTGATAGCAGCTGTATTTCATTTTGTACATCCAGTGGAAAAAGACATTAAAAAACATCACAAGTTGACACAAAACTGTGTAAGCTTCAGCTGTCAAAGTAAACAAGTTTCAAGATGCTGCATAAATTTTCCGCATGAACTCACCTGTCAAATTTTGACCAATCAGAGAATAAAAATTGGACGTAGAGCGTGACCAACGGGTGACCATAGTAAGAAACTGGTCTTTCCCGCCTGTATTTTTAAATAACTGGCTGAATTTTCGTGTCCGAGGTAATGACATAAACACGACATATTTCATATAAATTTTTAAAAAACAAACTTGAGCCTGCGATCATTTGAAAACTAGTAACTTGTAAGCGGATAACTTCAAAAAAATACTCGACCTCGATGGGTCGACACCTGAGCCCGCGATAAGGTCAGGTGATACTGGTCAGCGGATACCCTGTCTTGACAACTGTCAATTGATCACAACATTGATGCGCAATCAGTTTTCTCCTGTGCTCCCAAACTAGCTAGAAAGTGCGAGAGTAAACATTGGTATGCCTGTGGTGCGGACGGACGGTCGTACGTTCGTTCGGTGTACGGTCAAGTGATAACCAAATTTTTTGGGATGGGTAGATTTACTTAGCTATGGGGCTCCGTCCACGCGCGCGCGCTTCGCTGAACACCTATAAAGATTTCAATTAGTTTTATCAAGTGAGTCGATAGGGTAGATTAGCCACTTATTTCCCAACGGAGGCCAATCTACCCTATCCCTAGGGGAATTATTTTTCTCGCCTCCATCCCTCGACCGCTACAAGCCCGAACGCCCGCCCCTCGGTACACATGAAACCAAGATGGTCGCCCGTACAGGTAAGGGCTCGATCCTGACGACCTTACGAAAAAATCGGGGACTCGTACTGTGAATAGTCTAGCTTTTGCGGACAAATGGACAAAATTTTAACTAACAACTGACATTTGGACCCCCCATCCAGACTCTCTTTGCAGAAGGGGAGAGGGCAAGAGGCGTATTGTGACACTGGTAGCTGAAGGACCGGGGAGAGGGCGTTTTGTTTCTGCGCCAAAAACGTTCTGCATTTCGCTTTAAAAAGTTGTTATATTTTGGGTCAAAAGTTGTTACAATTCGCGTTAATGTTAAATTTTGTTGCACAACATCTGTCGCATACTCCAGTATTTATAGAGCTTTTGTTGATTATTCTAAATGTTCTCCAATTTTGAATGCAGCTCATATTTTACATTTGACGTCCAAATCCCCGCGCCTATGCTCAGGCTGGGGGGGTGGGGGATTTACATGGCTGGAGCATTTATCTAAGATCCTTAACACCTGTCACTCTACATGTGATAGGACCTAATCCATTAATCAACGAGTATAATCCGATTACAATAGGTCATGTTTCGTATTTGTGACAGAATGTGGTTGTAACCACGATGCAAATTCCTGTCCACAAAAGAGACTAAAACAACTGTAAACGTGCTTGAAAGTTAACTTCGGGAAACAATTCTCACAACGAGTCTCAACAAAGATTCAACCGTGTTTCCTATTTACTTTTTTCCCTGTCTAGTCCTCTGAGGGAAATTGAGAAAGCCTATGCCTAAAGCTTTATGGCCACGTTATTCCGCGCGGTTTAAGCGGTCCGCCGTTCGTCTTAGCTACGTCAACAAAATGCATTGACCAAGAAGGCCTGGGGAGACGCCGTACAGGGAGTAGGAAAGAGGAAGCCCACAATTAACAGCTGACAACAGTCGCCGACAACAGAGGAATTAAGGTCCCTTTGGTGAGACCCCGGGGGCTCCCCCAGATCTGCCACTCTATGTTATTTACTGTTTGGCAAATAAATAAAACAAACACATGAACGTGACTCTTTTTTTTCTCTATTTTTTCTCTTTATTCACTTTCTTTTTCAACGAGGCTCAAGGAATACAAGCACTTTAGTAAGTTAAGCCTACAACTACAGCTCCCGCTTTAAAATTCTACAGCCTCGAAATTTCACCTGGAAGGTGCACTTCATTGTTGCCTCATCGCAAGTAGACAGCCAAGACATCTGCCTCTTCAACATTGCCTGAAATTAGGAAAAACGTATTCTGGCTCTTAAGACTGACACAGGAATAACCACAGAGCGAGAAAAGAAAGAAGGAGCTACACCGTACATTACTTAATAAAAAGAGTACAATCACGTATTATTTTTTTGTTGGGGGAAAACTAAGTTAAAAGGTGTTTATAATAGCTGAAATAGAGGAGGGGAGAAAAATGGCAAAAACGACTTCATATTTTCACCCTGATGAACCTAATGCAAACTCGCTGCTCGGCCGCTTATCAATTTTTCCACTGGTGCAGAATCGATAGGCTTCACAACAAAATACAAAGCACTCGCTCGACTGCAGGGTACTTGATCAACTATAAACGTCTCGATAACCTACTATTCCAAATGTATAGACAGAGGAACATAATTAATTGTGGAACATTTGGCTTAATTTACAGGCAATCAAACTTTCGGTAATCGAACTTATAATCAAACTCCACTCGTTCAATTCACTTCGATAGAGATCGATAATCGAACATAATCGAACCATTGCCTCCCTTCCTAGGCACTGTGGCTATTTCTAATGAACTTGCTTGGCATTGGGGATGGAAGGCCAGGTAAGTATGCCCATTATTGGGTTATCAGGACCCTAGATTTTTTTATGATTAACTCACCGTATTGGTTCCAGTTGGTAAGACCAGACAGCTTGCTGTAAAGTATCACATTCTCACCAGGCCGGAAGCGCTTCTCCCAATCGCAGTCTGGGGGCACAGTTATCACAATCCACCCAACATCTTTAGGACATCCAGCATAGACACTGTTAATGAAGAAGTGACGGCCGTTGCCTGGATCTCCACGGATTGAAAAGAAGTTGTTTGGCTGAGTCTTCATGTCAGTCCAGGAGCTCTGAGTCAGTCTGGAGAGTGAAAACCAGTTGAGTTTGTCTGATCCCTTGGCATCGAATTTCAACTCCTTCATCACCTTTCCTCCTTTATACAGGACAACTCTCGCCTTTAGGAAATCAAGCAAAAATAGAATTTAACTGAATTCTTAGGCCACGTCCACACGAATCCGGATATTTTTTAAACCGCTTATATTTTTACTCGAGTCGGCCTTTTTTTCACACTGGCATGGGCTCCTGTCCACACGAAACCAGTGAATATGCTCACCGAGACCGCATATTTTTGAAACCGCTCTCCAGAGAATTTCTAAGTGTTTCTCCAGGGTGGTTTGAGGCCCCGTCTACACCAATCTGGTTATAAGCAACTATGTGGTTTCAAAAATGTCCGGATTCGTATGGACGAGGCCTTAATTCTACTAACTTTGAAATTAATTAAATTAAATTAATTGCTTTGCTCTTGACAGACACGCAAGTAGGAACAAAAACAAACAAACAAACAAAAAGAAAACGAAATTATATTATTTATAAGGTGTTGACTATTATATATATTTTCTTTGCAGTAAGTATTTTCATTTAATACGGGATCATTATATGCAATTTCCGGCCTGACAAAAGTAGAAGACATGGCATCAATACCCTGCGAAGGGCAAGGGGGGATAAAGGCGCACGAAATCGCGAAGGACACACGAGGTAGAAGGCGCCTTTTTCTTCCCCATCAAACGTTTGCCTAGCCTGATTTTCAGACGCTCCAGGTCACTCGCTTTCACGTACGCTTCCACGTACGCTTCCACGCATTCTCTTGTGGCCCACGAGCAACCTGCAGGAGCCTGTGAGACCCGGTCTGTCATGCATGTAGAGCAGATAGGGCATTTAGCTGGCAGATTTATGAACGCAATGTCACAGCGGAAATAAAGTGAAATATATAATACCTCCATTGGTCCAATGTTTTGCCACTTTAAAACGATCCTGTTTTTGTAGTGGTTAAAGTGCCTGTTAGTGACTTCAAGAGCTGCAAAGACTTTTTCAGAGGATGTCTGATCAGATGTGTATGTACTATACACGTTTTTATTCACTCCAGACACAGCCTTAAACGCCATAGTCCAGCCTACAAATAGCAGGAAAAAAAAAAGTCTGTATAAGAACAAAGGAATAGACCAATTTTGATCATGATGTATTAAAATTCATACTTGGCTCCGAGGCTTGGGGGAATAATACAAATACTATTCATTGCTGAGCCTTAAGCCCTCGCAGCCAAGTATATATGAATTTTTAACAGTCAGTAGCTTTCATTTGGATACAGAGTATTCATTCGGGCACACCACCAGGTCGAGACTTTTACTTCGAATTTACCATCTTTACGCAACTATATATGTATGTTGGCAAAACACCCATTTCCGAGTCGCCCGAAGCAGAGTGATATCTATTTGGATACTTCAGTTTTCACGTCCCAGTCTATAGATATCTGCAAATCTCAATTATATTTTCATTAATGTTTTTTGTGTTAGGGAAGGCTTTCTTTTAGGTATTTCACGGGCGCGAAAATGCAATTTTCTCACTGAATGAATCAATTAAGATGAAACTGAATTACTCACCTCCAGCGGCCATATCACAGTATACTGGGAAAGGCTTCTCATCATCTGTAAGTATAAGAGATGTTTTATGCAATGGTTAGTTCTGGTGCGGTGGATGAGCAGTTTTAAACACCTCGAACTTCAAATATTTACAGCTGTAGCAGTCCAGGTTCACGCCCATGTCGTTTAAGACAAGAAATGTTTTCCAGTATGTCTCAAATTTTCACCCTTGGCCCGCCCTGGTTGTTCTAAAGATGAATAACGCTATCCATTGGATTAATCTCTATCTAGTGGTAACACAATTAGTTTCCTTAATACCTATCCTCTGGATAGTGATTTAGCCGGTTGAAATGATGGATAGCGCTATCCAACGTTTCAACAACGGGGCCTGGGAAATACCACCCGGGGTAGGCCCGCAATAGACTGGCAACTCTTTCATGTAGGGTGCAAAGCAATGTTATAGAAACCTTCCTCACATAAATCTCCATTCAATTTCTAAAAGTAATATATAGATTCACCCAGGGCTAAAAGCGAGGCTCTCGATAATATTTATAGTTTTTTCAAACAAAATATAAAATCGTGTAATGCTAATCGGCGAAGGCAACGCCGGACAACGGTGAAAAACAACAATAGTTATAATTAGCAAAAAAGCAACTTTGCTTGTGCAGCACACTTTTTTTCTACATTTCTACAACGTGAATACGTGTTCTCGTTCACTTTTTTTTCACTGCCGCTCATTATCGCCTTGCATTGGTGGTCGCTAAAATTTCTCATTTTGTCACCGCCGCTACAAAATTTTCATGTCATTCTTCCAGCAGAAAAATGACTCCTTTGTTTTTTATCTCTCGCTCTCAAGATCTCTGTCGCCCTTTTTGTCGTTGAGCTTTCTGTCTTTCCCCTGCTCTATATTCCAAATTTGTGGACATCACAATTAATCTAAGCTAAATACTTTAGACAAAACGGATACAGAAACAATTTCCACTTTCCGTTTTCGTCTTTATTCAAGCTCTTTAGTTGTCTCTGCTTTACAAGACGGCGGTGGCTATGCGATTTCCCACCAAAATAACCCACAAAACAAAACCTCCAATGAGAGGTAATAAGAGACCCTCCCGAAGACGGAGTTTTTTTCAGGGTATTGTACAGAAACCTTGCTTTGTTACATCTTCGCTTTTTGTTATTAGCATTTACTTTTTTGTTGCAAAATATACTTTTACGCTTGCTGAGAATGGTGAAAATTTAATAAGCGCCCAGCCTCGAATAAGCGCCCACTCTCAAGGTCCAAAAATGTAATAAGCGCCCGGGCGGTTAATCGAATAAATACGGTATTACGGTTTAAAATGACACACCTTTTGTAGACTTCCAGGCTGATTAGAGATTCATCCAGCCGGCTAGTAAGCTCTCCATTTGGGGGAGTGATGAGAGAATCACGCGAGAGCTGCACTCGAAAGGAGACGCGAGTGCGAGGGAGGGGGGCGGGAGAAAGCAAGAGGGAAACGAAAGAAAGGAGAAAGAAAAGGCTAAATTCTACTTACTGCTTAAAGCGTCTTGCTAGGGAACAAACTGATTCTAGTATTTAGCTTACCTAAACTCCATCTTAATCTTCCGAAAGAGAGCTAGCTAGAGCAATTATTTTTACAGTGCAGGTCCTACTCAAGCTGAGAGATCACATTAATTTTTACAACGTCAATTTCAGTTTTCTGGGATTTGTACTGAAAGCGCCTGTAAAATGCAGCCTTGTGCTCAGATGCTGCTTGTTTTTGTTGCTCAGTATTAACAGATTAATAATCGAAGTGTTCTTTCGCGAGCTTAAACTCCTGGTCCTTTTTAGCGTATATCTTATAAAGAGAAAATTCCACAAGGTCTTTTATACCGCGCTAACAATACTTACAGCAATATAAAACTGTTTTGAAAGTTTCCAACGAAAAAGTTTTACAAACCTCTCAGGAACTTGTGAAGGCAAAAAGCAGAAAATAGCACAAGAATTGGGAATTTCACAACGTCAGTCTTTTCCTTGATTTAATCCTCGTGGTGTCCTTCAATTACTGATAGTGTACTGATTTTTAAATTAGCTTTATAGCCAGGTGAAAGTTGTATTGGCTCAAATCAAGGGTAGGAATTGATGAACTTGGGCCTGGGTACCTGACGAACATCCGAGTTGTCAGGTCACTGACCAACAGGTTATTTGGAGGCCCACTTCTCCGGGAGGAGACTCTCATATAAAAGTGAAGGGGCTGCTGAGAAGTTGTTGGAACACTAAGCACTACATAATAACCACCATACGGCGCACGGCCGCGCACCTATACCACACAATGAATCACCACAGAGTGCAGCTACCACACGGCGCATCTATCACATGGTGCACCTACCACACATTGCACGGATCGAGGTTGCTCAATTACCTCACAGTGCACCGACCCAAGTTCTTCACCTCCCACAAGGTCCATCTATGACATGGTGCACCTACCACACAGTGCGCCGACCCAAGCACTTCACGCACCTACCACACGGTGCACCTACCGCGTGGTTGACCCAGGTTCCTCAATTACCACACAGTGTACCGACCCAAGCACTTCATGCACCTACCACACAGTGCACCTACCGCGTGGTTCACCCAGGTTCCTCAATTACCACACAGTGTACCGACCCAAGCACTTCATGCACCTACCACACAGTGCACCTACCGCGTGGTTGACCCAGGTTCCTCAATTACCACACAGTGCGCCGACCCAAGCACTTCATGCACCTACCACACAGTGCACCTACCGCGTGGTTCACCCAGGTTCCTCAATTACCACACAGTGTACCGACCCAAGCACTTCATGCGCCTACACACAGTGATACTTAGTGCGATATAATTTTTTCCTCTACTTTTACTCTAATGGAATAAAATAAATTCAAGTTTAAAGACTGGCGTGAATGATATCACAAGCACAGGCTTTTGAAAGCAAGCGATGGCCAAAGAAGAATAATTAATGGCCTTTTAAACCCATGTCACCAATTTTGCAACCAATGGATAATCACCGTCATATTCTAAAGATTGTCGCTCTAATTGCAATCATTGATACATAACAGGCCAGAGCGCCGATTTTAAGTACTAGGCGACTTTGAAAGACGCGTGCTTCACATATTTGTGGCGGATTAGAATGCCGGCTTGGTCAGAGGCCCTTTGTTTAAAACATTGCGGGATACTCGCAGCTTAAGGCAAGCATGTGCCTTGTAGCTGTCAACATAATGCTTTTTAATTACATTCTGTCATAATTAACAAAACCCGATCCATGTTTGATTGAAAGTAATTGTACAAATCTGGTACCAGACAAACCGCTTTTAAAAAACAAAAACACAAAACTAGTTTATGGTTATTTCTCATTAATTTCACTTGATCAAAACAAATATTTACTTTTATCAGTTTTCCCGTTTCTTTCAAAACATCCTTCATTTCCGGGCGTTTCACCGTAGTCAATGAAAGATGCGTTTTATCGGTCTTCTTTTTCAAGGGAATATCAAAATTTCCATCTTTCAAAACGCGATGAACCAAAGCTCGCAGGATACCAAAGCGCCAAAGGCGCACGATGCAGTCCCGGTGTTTTGTGAGCATCCGTTAAAAATATTGAACGCCAAAACTATCAAGTTTTGGTACAGCGAGAGGCAGCTAGTTTCTGTACCCAAAGGTTAGTGCATGGACAGGCTATCGAAAGAAAATAAAAGGGATGGTTGCCCAATGGATAGCAGGCCTAACTACGCAAAATAAATGTCTCATTGCATCCTTGTCTGCGAGGTTAGTACTAAATTTACAGTCTAGAATACATTACAGAACTCAATCAGCAACACTTTGCAAGTAGAATTGGTGATCAGTGTGGGCAATTTATATTTCTAAGGGACGTCCGTCGCACAAAGGCTTAACGCGCGGGGGTTTTTAGTCAATGACTGACATAACAGTTTCCTCACAATCGACCCAGTTAGAATGCGATAATGTGCGAGTGAACTTTGCCTACAACTGGCAATAAGCTGAATAAACCGGAAGCTGAACACCATGAATAAGTTACCTAATTACATCGCAGGTTCTTTTTCTTTTTTTTCAACTACCGGAGAGGTTTTTCGTGCATTCTGTTGCGCAGTTTGGCAGTAATATTCCTGCAATGGTTTTAGTACTGGTCCCGTTGCCGAAACCTTGCACCAGCAAGATACGGTAATCGAGAGTCGAGAATCGAGAATCGATATTGTACTCGGGACAAGAAAAGGTCGCCGTCCAAGGAACAACTGATGAAAAGCAAGAGCTTCAAGCTGCTGAGAATCGCCAATTCTGGATTACAAGCAGTGAAGGAACTCCTGAGAAGCGTCCAAATTATAAAGGAACTTTGGAGGCAAGTCAGCCACGGTGATTGTCGCACCACGCATAAAGTAGAATAAATTTGTTAGCCTGGTCTTGTCTTTGCCACAAATCACGTAAAACTATAAAGAAGGTACCACTATGAACTCTGGAAAATGAAAATTCAATAATACTATGGTTGACGACTGACAGTTTAAAAGAGAGACAACCTTCACCTCAGAATCTTGGGCGCGCCGCCTGTAAGCTCTGAGGGAGAGAGTAGCCCCATATTTTGGCCTATTTCAAAACAAATGACACTACAAAGAAGAACTAAAATAATAATTTGAATGATGACCGAAATTTCAAAAGAGAGACTACCATCACCTCAGAATCTTGGGCGCGCCGCCTGTAAGCTCTGAGGGAGAGGGTAGCGCCATAATTAATTTGGCCTATTTCAAACACAAATGACACTACAAAAATAACCTACAATAATAATCTGGATAATGACCGACATTTCAAAAGAGAGACTACCATCACCTCAGAATCTTGGGCGCGCCGCCTGTAAGCTCTGAGGGAGAGGGTAGCGCCATAATTAATTTGGCCTATTTCAAAAACAAATGACACTACAATAATAACCTACAATAATAATTTGGATAAATGACCAACATTTTAAAAGAGAGACTACCATCACCTCAGAATCTTGGGCGCGCCGCCTCTAAGCTCCGAGGGAGAGGGTAGCCCCATAATTTGGCCTATTTCAAAACAAATGACAA